CTACCCATCCATCCACCCATCTTCCACCCATCCCTCCACCCCCATCATCCACTCATCCACCCACCCACTCACCCATCCATCTACCCATCCATTCACCCATCCCTCCATCCATTGCCTCTTCCCCTTATGGCAGCCCATGCTGGGAGAGTCTGCAGTCTCTCAAAGCCCTTACTTCCAAGGAACCTCCTGGCTGAAGGGAAAAGTCCAAAGGGCAGACAAAGATTCACTGGTGTGATGCACAGTGTCTGCTGTGGTGCTGAGATTCTGGGGTCCACTCAGACCCCACACTTGGTACCAACACCCTCTTTCCTGCAGCCTCAGCTCGGGGCGCTGCTGTTACTTCTCCACGGGTTCGGCCACCACACAGCAGTTCTCTGACCAGGACGGCGTGTCTGTCTTCTGCAATGTCACACTCTGGGTGGAAACCCAAGCCATGAACCGGACAGAAAGGTCTCCTGAGATTACCCTGCAACTCTACAACTCAGGTCAGCATCCTGTCTACACCCGCAGGCATTCTGGGCCCCTGTCAGTCATTGTCACATCAAACCGTGCTGTGTGACTCATAGATCTCTCACTGTCCCTTTGCCAATCCCCTACTGCTGGGCATTTAGGTTGCTGCTAGTTTTTTGTTTGTATTTGTTTTAAAATGAGCTCTTTTTGGGACCAGCAGTTAGCGTAATGGCTATGTCACTGGACTCCCACGTAGTCGACTGCAGTTCGCGTCCCAGACCCGGTGGCTTAAAACTTACTCCGGGGGCGTGTGTGTGCATGCCCAAGATCCCGAGAGGAGAATGGAGGAGAAGGGATTGCGGCACGGCCATCCCCTCTGGGGGGGTGATTTCTCACTTTCTGTCTCCCTGTCTTTCTCTGTCTGTCTGGTGAGCACACGCGCCCTATAGCAAAAACCTCTCCAAAAAAAAAAAGAGCACTTTTTAAAACATATGTATTTGTTTTATTTTATTTGTTATTATTTTTTAAAAGAATTATTTAATTTTATTTATTCATTCATTTATTTTAATTTGGCCAGAGAGAGACACAGAGAGCGAGAGAGAGGGAAAGTGAGAAAGCAGGGTCTGAGACTTGAACCGTGGTCGGCCATGTGGGAGTGTCCAATGCCTTAACCACACCACCATACCACCTGGTGGTTCTCCATCAGAGTCTCTCTCTCTCTCTCTCTTTTTTTTTTTTGGAGAGGTTTTTGCTATAGGGTGCATGCGCTCGCCAGAGAGACAGAGACAGACAGAGAGACAGAAAGTGAGAAATCACCCCCCAGAGGGGATGGCCATGCCACAATCCCTTCTCCTCCATTCTCCTCTCGGGATCTTGGGCACGCACGCACACGCGCCTGGCGTGAGTTTAAGCCACCGGGTCCGGGACTCAAACTGCGGTCAGCTACATGAGAGTCCAGCGACATAGCCACTACGCTAACTGCTGGTCCCCAGAGTCTCTCTTTTTAACCAGAAGGCTTGTGTACTGACAGAAAACAGAGAGGGCGGAAGCACCCCCTAGAGGGCGCGGCCATGCAGCAATCCCTTCTCCTCCAATCCCCTGCCTGGTTGGGATTGGGGACATGCATGAGTATGCACCTGCTGTGTTTTTCAGAACTCCAGGACCAGGATTCGAACCACAGTCAGTCAGGCTTCCCATAGTTAGGGCTTAACCGCTTCACTGTGGGACTAGCCTTCTCTCTCTCTCTAGCTCATGGAAGAAATAAATAAACTGAAAAGAAAACCAAGGGACCAACAGGTGGCATAGTGGTTATGTCGCTGGAATCCCACATGGTCAACCACAGTTCGAATCCCAGACCTGGTGGGCATGAAAATCATGCTGGATCCAAGTGTGTGTGTGTGTGTGTGTGTGTGTGCGTGTTTGTACATGCATGCCCAAAACCCTGGGTGGAGAATGGAGGAGAAGGGATTGCTGCATGGCCATCTCCCCTGGGGGCTGATTTCTCACTTTCCCTCTCACTGTCTCTGTCTCACTCTCCAGTGAGCACAGGTGCCCTAAGGCAAAAACCACTTCAAAAAAAAAAAAAAAAAAAAGAAGTTCGAAAAAGAAAAACGGAAGGAAATGCTTCTATTACTGACAACGTGGTTGTATGTAGAGTATTTTAGGCTAAGCAAAATAAGCCAGATACACAAACAAAAATACTGCATGATTTTACTTACAAGTAGCATCTAAAAAAAAAAAAAAAAAGAGAACAGTGACAACAGCGTTTATCAGGAATGGGGAGGAGGAGGGAATGAAGAGAGCTAGGTCACAGCGTACGGGTCAGCATTTATGCAGAATTAAAACATCTAGGGCGGGACCAGCAGTTGGCGTAATGGCTATGTCGCTGGACTCCCACGTAGTCGACCGCGGTTCAAGTCCCGGACCTGGTGGCTTGAAACTTACGCCGGGCGGGGGGGTGTGCGTGCCCAAGATCCCAAGAGGAGAATGGAGGAGAAGGGACTGCGGCGTGGCCATCCCCCCTGGGGGGTGATTTCTCTCTCGCTCTCTCTCTCTCTGTTTCTTTCTCTCTCTCTTCCCCTCTGGTGGGTATATAGACCCCAAAACAAAATTTAAACAAGTAGGAAGAAATAAACAAAAAACCAGATAGGTGGACTAACAGGATTCATTGTCTTTGAATCATGAAATACCAAGCTTAGTTAAGTCTGGCGGGAGTAACCCTGATTCACTTTTGGGGGAGTTAGTGATGCCTGGCAGGGCATGGGTAGACTTTCTGGAATTTGGGGACCCAAGAACTCAGAGATATCTCAGCTACTCTTTTTTCTTTCTTCCTTTCTTTCTTTGTCTCTGTCTCTCTTTCTCTCTCTTTCTTCTTTCTTTTTTTTTTTTGAGAGGTTTTTGCTATAGGGCGCGTGCGCTCTCCAGACAGACAGACAGAGACAGAGAGACAGAAAGCAAGAAATCACCCCCCCAGGGGGGATGGCCACGCCGCAATCCCTTCTCCTCCATTCTCCTCTCGGGATCTTGGGCACGCACGCACATGCACCCGGTGTGAGTTTAAGCCACCGGGTCCGGGACTCGAACCATGGTCAACTACATGGGAGTCCAGCGACATAGCCATGACGCCAACTGCTGGTCCCTCTTCTTTCTCTTTCTTTCTTCTCTTTCTTCCTTCCTTTTTCTTTTTAAGAGAGAGATTTTTGCTCTAGGGCGTGGGCGCTCACCAGAGCAACAGAGACAGAGAGACAGAAAACAAGAAATCAGCCCCCAGGGGGGATGGCCACACTGCAATCTCTCCACTTGGGATTTTGGGCACGCACGCCCATGCGCCTGGTGTCGTCACCCCCCCTTCTGCTTCTAGTTAGGTACGACCCACCCTGGACAAACATCAAGCTATCCAGGTTAGCAGGGCAGCTGCAAATGGAATGGGAGACCCCGGACCTCCAGTATGGCGCCGAGGTACAATTCCGACGCCGGACACCCAACAGCCCATGGAAATTGGTGAGTTCATTTTCTGGGTCAGAAGTGGAGACTGGCTGCTCCCAGAGCACTTCAACCCACCTGCCTTAATCAGTCTCTCCATTTTCCACCTGGCATGCCTCCCAGCTGGCTTCCACTCTCGCCTCCTGTCTGATATTCCCATCTGGTCATGACCTCCCCTGCTCACACACCCTCCATGGCTCCCTATTACCCTTGACCTGTCTTCCTCCTCAGCTCCGCCTTACTTGTTTTATTTTTCTCTGACCTCTCCCTGAATGCTGTTGTTCTGGCCCCACACCCGAGATCTCCAGCCTCTTTGTTTTTTTTTTTTTTTTTTTTTGAATACAGTGCCCTCCGCCTGCACGCTCTCCTCTCCATCTGAGCTCACAAATCCAAACCAGTTGTCAGTCTGGCTCCAGACACTTCCTCCAGGAAGGCACCTTTCCATTTATTCATGCATTCATTCATTCGTTTGAAAGTTTTTGGCTAGCGCTTGCCGGAGAGACATCGAGAGAGAAAGCGAGAAATCACCCCCCAGGGGGGATGGTCACGCCGCAATCCCTTCTCCTCCATTCTCCTCTCGGGATCTTGGGCACGCACGCACACGCGCCCAGCGTGAGTTTAAGGCACCGGGTCTGGGACTCGAACTACAGCCGACTACGTGAGAGTCCAGTGACGTATCCATTATGCCAACTGCTTTTCCTCTTTCATTCATTCTTTAGCTACTTTGTTACCCCCAGGCAGGGCAGTGGTTCACTGCAAAAGACCTCAGCTCTGGGCCAGCAGGTGATATGGAGGTTAAGGCACTGGATTCCATATGGCCAAGTCTTTGGGTTCAAGTCCCGGTGGCCTGAAAAGCATGCCAAGCGTGCGTGCGTGTGTGTGTGTGTGTGCCCAAAATCCTGGGAGGAGAATGGAGGTAAAGGGATTGTGGCATGGCCATCCCCCCTCGGGAGGGTGGGCGGATTTCTTGCTTTCTGTCTCTCTGTCTCTCTAGTGAGTACATGTGCCTTGCAGCAAAAAATAAATAAAGAAATAACTCTCTCTAAATAAAAACAATAGGGACTGGCACGTGGCATAGTGGTTAAAGGTGCTGGGTTACTACATGGCTGACCATGGTTCGAGTCCCGGATCCGGTGGCTTAAAACTCACGCCAGGCGCGTGTGCATGCATGCCCAAGATCCCGAGAGGAGAATGGAGGAGAAGGGATTGCGGCGTGGCCATCCCCCCTGGGGGGTGATTTCTCGCTTTCTGTCTCTCTTTCTCTCTGTCTGTCTGGCGAGTGCACGCGCCCAATGGCAAAAAAACTCTCCAAAAAAATATAATAATAGTAACAAATGAAATTAAATCAATAACTAATTTTAAAATAATAATAATAATAATAAATGAAATGAAATGGATAAGTAAAAACAAACTTTTCTTTTAGAATAAGATTTTTTTAAATCAAATATTTATTTATTTATAAATAGAATAACTCCCCCGGGGAGATATTTATTTATTTATAATAAATAACTCCCCAGGGGAGGTTGACCACACTGCAATCTCTTCTCCCTTCTCCTTTCAGGATTTTGGGCATGCACGGACACACACCCACTGTGAGTTTCAAGCTGTCGGGTCCAGGACTCGAACTTCACAGCTGGCTATTTGGGATCCAGTGCCTTCAGCACCATGACACCTGCTGACCCTCTTTTCTTTTGCTTCTTGTTGGATTCGATTCAGCAATCCACATTGCATTTTGTAAAACCATTTATTTATTTAAGGTTTTTGCCAAAGGGTGCAGCACTCGCTAAGAGAGACAGAAAGGGGGAAATCAGCCCCCAGGGGGGATGGCCACACTGCAATCCCTTCTCCTCCACTTTCCTCTTTAGATTATGGGCATGCACGCCCATGGGCCTGACATGGTTTTCAAACTTCTGGACCGGGACCCCAACTTTGGTTGTCCAATGAGGGAGTCTAGTGCCTTAACCGACATGCCACCTGCTGACCCCAGTAAAACAATATTTTAAATTTCAAAACAGCACAAAGGGCCAGCCTCACAGCCCAGCAGTTAAACACTGTGCAAAAGAAGTTGGACGCCACATGGCTGACCAGGGTTCGAGTCCTAGCCCCACTGGCTTGAAAAACATTCCAGGCATGCATGCCAAGAATCCTAGAGGGATGGGGAATGGAGAAAAGAGGATTGTAACATGACCAGGCCCAACTAAGGGGTCTCTCTCTCTCTCTCTTTCTCTCTCATACACACACATGTGTGCTCTGGCATTTAAAAAAAAAAAAGGCAGGACCAGCAGTTAGCGTAATGGCTATGTCACTGGACTCCCACGTAGTCAACCGTGGTTCGCGTCCCGGACCCGGTGGCTTAGAACTCAAACCGGACACGTGTGCATGCATGCCCAAGATCCCGAGAGGAGAATGGAGGAGAAGGGACTGTGGTGTGGCCCTCCCCCCCGGGGGTGATTTCTCGCTTTCTGTCTCTCTGTCTCTCTCTGTCTGTCTGGCGAGCGAGTCCACGTGCCCTAGAGCAAAAACCTCTCAAAAAAAAAAAAAACCAATAAATAAATGCAGTTTCATTCTAGGGCTACTGTGGACGTCAAGATGCCTCTGAAATAGGTGAGAATAACAATAATAATAATAATTGGGGCCCAGCAGGTGGCGTGGTGGTTAAGGCACTGGACACTCCCACATGGTCAACCACAGTTCGAGTCTTGGACCTGGTGGCTTGCTTTCTCACTTTTCCTCTCTCTCTCTCTCTCTCTCTCTCTCTGGTGAAATTAAAATGAATGAATGGGGCCAGCAGGTGGCGTGGTGGTTAAAGGCATTGGATTCCCACATGGCCAACGGTGGTTCAAGTCCCAGACCTGGTGGCTTACTTTCTCAATTTTCCTTTCTCTCTCTCTCTCTGGTCCAATTTAAAAATAATAATAACAAACAGAATGAAATAAATAAATAAATCTTTAAAATGAATGAATGAATAAATAAATAAAATAAATCATTCTTCATAAAAAAAAAAAAACAGCAACAATAATAATAGTAACAGCTGCAGCAAGCCTGCATTAATCGAGCACCGATTGTGCGCTGGGCCCTGTTGAAGTCTTCCTCTGATAGAGCTGTGACTTCGCCCAGTCGTTCCTGGGTTAGTCTCACTTCACAGGAGAGGTTACAACCAACACTTGGGAAGTGAGATGTCACTGGCCAGGCCAACAGGTAGCATGGTGGTTAAGGTTCTGAATCCCACCTGGCTGACCACGGTTCAAGTCCTAGACCTGGCAGTTTGAAAATCACACCAGACGCATGTGCGTGCGTGCCTAATGACTATGTCGCTGGACTCCCATGTAGTCGACCGCAGTTCAAGTCCCGGACCCAGTGGCTTAAACTCACGCCGGGCGCGTGTGCATGCGTGCCCAAGATCCCGAGAAGAGAATGGAGGAGAAGGGATTGCGGCGTGGCCATCCCTCCTGGGGGGGTGATTTCTCGCTTTCTGTCTCTCTGTCTCTCTCTGTCTGTCTGGCGAGGGCACGCGCCCTATAGCAAAAACCTCTCCAAAAAATAAATTAATTAAAAATAAATAAATAAATAAAGACACAGTGCCTAAGAGGTCCATGCTGAGCCCTGGGCAGGCCCTGTGGCCTGACATTCGACCCACCTCTTTCCAGAGACCTGCCTCTGCCCCCTGGAGGTGGATGCCGCCCAGGAGTTCCAGATACAGCGACGGCAAGTGCTGGAGACCGGGGTCCCTGGAGGTCCCTGGAGCAGCTGGAGTCACTCCGTGTGTGTCCCCCCAGGTGAGAGTTCATGGGGACACACGAGCAGGGCTGGGCCTGTGGCCTAGTGGTCAAGGGAGCCAGATTCGACATTGCCAGTTGCGGTTCAATTCCTGGCCTTGGCAGCTTGGAAACACTCAGTACTGGAAGGTGGTATGATAGTTGAGGCGCTGAATTTCCACATGGCTGACTGCGGTTCGAGTCCCAGACCTGGGGGCTTGCTTTTTCACTTTCTCTCTCCCTGTCTCTCTCTAGTCAAATTTTAGAAAATAAATAAATAAAAAGAGGATGGTGACTATAATGAAATAAAAGAATTCTTTTAAAAAATACAATTTGTTGGGAACCAGCAGTTAGCGTAATGGCTATGTCGCTGGACTCCCACGTAGCCGACTGCGGTTCGAGTCTCGGACGCGGCAGCTTAAACTAGCCGCGTGTGCGTGTGTGCCCAAGATCCCGAGAGGAGACTGGAGGAGAAGGGATTGCGGCGTGGCCATCCCCCCTGGGCGTGATTTCTCACTTTCTGTCTCTCTGTCTCTCTCTCTCTTTCTGGTGAGCGCTCGCGCCCTATAGCAAAAACCTCTCCAAAAATCTTTAAAAAAAAATCATTTTCCGTCTTTCTCGCAATCCAGGTTGTCCAGCTAATTCTGTTCTCATTGCAGAAATCCCCCCACAGCCTGAGATGAGCCTCCTTCTGGAACCCCTGGACCAGAATGGGAAAAGAAAACTGACCCTGCGTGGACAGGTCAGAGGACCAGTTCAGGGACAATGGGGTGGCCCGGGATAAAGTGAAGGAGGCAGAAGACTGGAGGGGGGTGGGCGAGCGGGAGACAGAGAGAGACGAGATGCAGAGACAGCAGAGACTGTGCAGATGGCAGCTTTAATTCGGAGAGTACTGGGGAGCCATAGAGTGCGCTTGAGCAGGGGAGGGATATGGTTGGACTCAGGTGTTTTCCAGCAACCTCTGGGGGGAACGGATTATCGGAGGAAGGAGCAAAAAGCCACAAAGGAGGGGACAGCACACTGCCCAGGTGGGAAATGATTACTATAAACCTCTGAACAACCCATCCGATGTTACCTTATTTTTCTTAAAATTTTTAAAAAGAATTATTTAATTTTATTTATTCATTCATTTATTTCAATTTGACCAGAGAGAGACACAGAGAGAGAGAGAGAGAAAGTGAGAAAGCAAGCCACCAGGTCTGGGACTCGAACCCTGGTTGGCCGTGTGGGAGTGTCCAGCACCTTAACCACCATGCCACCTGCTGGTCCCTATTTTTCTTAATTTTTTTTTTTTGAGAGGTTTTCGCTATAGGGCACATGAGCTCGCCAGACAGACAGAGACAGAGAGACAGAGAGACAGAAAGCGAGAAATCACCCCCCAGGGGGGATGGCCACGCCGCAATCCCTTCTCCTCCATTCTCCTCTCGGGATCTTGGGCACGCACGCACTCGCGCCCGGCGTGAGTTTAAGCCACCGGGTTCGGGACACAAACCGCTGTCGACTACATGGGAGTCCAGCGACATAGCCATTACGCTAACAGCTGGTTCCCTCGCTTTCTGTTTCTCGCTGTCTCTGTCTGGTCAAATTTAAAAAAGTAATAATAACATATAGAATTAAATCAGCCAGTAACTCTCAAACAAAAAAAAAAAGCCAAACGATATGTACTGTCTCTAAGTGCCCATTTTCCAGCAGCTTTGCCAGCATTGAGGGTTATGATTTTTTTGAATTCTTGGTGCATTTCGTCGGCTGTGGTCCTCGCATGAGTGTGTCTTCACAGACTGTGTCCCGCTGTCTGTCCAGGGAACGCTGAGATGTTCAGTTTCCCGTAGGCCATCTTTTCCCCTTACGACAGCTGCCCCAGCTGGAGCTTCCAGAAGGTTGCCATGAACCCGAGCGTTTGAGAGGCTGCCGTGGGCCCACATCCCACGTGGGAATGATCTACTGCGTTCGGCTCCACATGCTGTCCTGCCCGTGTAAGACTCCGGCCACCAGGCTGCTGTCCCTGCGGAGAAATCTCTCCCTCTCTGGCGGTGCCTACGACGTGGCTGTTGTCTCCTGGAATCGCTTTGGCCCCGGCCCCAATCAGACATGGCACATCCCGGCCATCAACCACACAGGTGCTTCCTCTGGGTGGGGGCGGGCCCCTGAGAGCCGAACGCCTACTCAGCCCCAGAGAGACCTAAGGGGTCTCTCACTTAGAGATGTGTCAGTTGGCGTCATGGCTATGTCGCTGGACTCCCATGTAGTCAACTGCGGTTCGCGTCCTGGACCCGGTGGCTTAAACTCACACCGGGCGCGTGTGTGTGCGTGCCCAAGATCCCGAGAGGAGAATGGAGGAGAAGGGATTGCGGCGTGGCCATCCCCCCCCGGGGGGTGATTTCTCGCTTTCTGTCTCTCTGCCTCTCTCTGTCTGTCTGGCGAGCGCATGCACCCTATAGCAAAACAAAAAACAAAAAAACAAAAAACCTCTCCACAAATGAAGACACATCGCATCATGGTTAAGGCAGCAGGATCTCTCACATGGTTGGCTATTCTGTTCGAATCCCAGATCTGGCAGCTGGAAACTCATGCCAGGCACGTGTGTGTGCGTGCCCCAAATTCCTAGAGGACAGTGGAGGAGAAGAGATTGTGACGTGGCCGTCCCCCTGAGGGTGATTTCTCTCTCTCTCTCCGACAAGTACACATAGCTTTCATCAAATTTTAAAAATAAATATTCATGTCATTGCATTAAAGCAATATGTTGGAGGCAGCAGGTGGCTTGGTGATGAAGGTATTGGAACTCCCACATGGCCAACCACGGTTCGAGTCCTGGACCTGTGGCTTTCTCTCTCTCTGCCTGGTGAGTGCATGACCCCTCTAACAAATAAAATAACAATAATGAATAAATTTCTTTTTAGAGAGGTTTTTGCTATAGGGTGTGTGTGCTCGTTGGGGAGACACGAGAAATCACCCCCCCCCGGGGGGATGGCCAAGCCGCAATCCCTTCTCCTCCATTCTCCTCTCAGGATCTTGGGCACGCACGCACACGAGCCCGGCGTGAGTTTAAGCCACCGGGTCCGGGATGCGAACTGCGGTTTACTAAATGGGAGTCCAGCGATGTAGCCATTACGCCACCTGCTGGTCCCAATAATTATTTGATTTTTTTAAATGGTGGGATAGGAGCTGCAGGAGCCTAGAGGGCGAGGCCAGTAGGGACGGCAAAGCCGCGTTCCCGGCGTAACCTTCCCCTCTCCTTCCAGAACCAGGGTCTCTGAATATCAGCGTCGGGGTCAATGGCACCACCATGCGCTGGCCGGCCCAAGCGCAGGTCGTGACATACTGCATCGAGTGGCAGCCCTGGGGCCAGGACGGGGCCCAGGAGGGGACGGAGGACGGGGGCCAGGCCACCTGCACCCTGACTGCGCCCCAGGGCCAGGACCCCGCCGGAATGGGTACGTTCGCGCCAACGCCGCATCTGCCTCTGCGTCTGGAGCCGGGCTTCTGGCTCAGCCCCGGGGCGGGTTGCAACTATGGCAGGTCTAAATGAGTCTCACCTCCCAGGGTGTTTGTTAAATATTCCGAGGCACCCGGGAAGGTGGCAGCTAATGAGATGCTGGTGGCAAGGTAATGAGGTCTGGGAGGGAAAGGGGGTGTGGGTAACCCAGGCGGCTTCTCACTCTTGGCTTAATGCCTTGGACGCGTGTGGAGGCTCTGGAAACGTCAGTTCCAGCTTAAGGAGAAAGTTGGATATGAACACACCATGGTTTCATGGAGTAAGACTGGGTTGTAGGAAGAAGGAATGGATTGGGAAGGTTGAATAGGGAAGGGGCACTGGGGCAAGGGCTTTGACGCATGAATAGGAGTGTTCTAGGAGCTCCTGGCAGATGGCATTGCCAGTGCAAACCAACAAAGGTGAGGCATTATATATGTGTGTGTGTGTGTGTGTGTGTGTGTGTATAATGTTTTTTCCTAGAGAGATTTCTGCTATAGAGTACATCCACTCACTGGAAAGACAGAGAGAAAGTGAGAAATCATCCCCCAGGAGGAATGGCCACACTGCAATCCCTTCTCCACTCTCCTCTGGAGAGATCCTGGACACGCACGCACACATGCCCTGCATGAATTTCTTTCTTTCTTTCTTTTTCTTTTTTTTAGAGGTTTTTGCTATAGGGCGTGTGCGTTCGCCAGCCAGACAGAGAGAGACAGAGAGACAGAAAGGGAGAAATCAACCCCCAGGGGGGATGGCCATGCCGCAATCCCTTCTCCTCCATTCTCCTCTCGGGATCTTGGGCACGCACGCACACGCACCTGGCGTGAGTTTAAGCCACCGGGTCCGAGATGCGAACCGCGGTCGACTACGTGGGAGTCCAGCGACATAGCCATGACGCCAACTGCTGGTCCCGCCTTTGCTCATTCTTGCAGCAGAGTACAGCTGGGGCCCAGAGTCGAGGGTGATGGAGAAGGAGGAGTGTTACCGCATCACCATCTTCGCCTCCGACAATCTGGAGAAGCTGACCTCGTGGTCTACGGTCCTGTCCACCCACCACTTTGGGGGCGATGGTGAGTGGCCCACACCTGTGAGTGTCTCTCTCGAGAGGGGTCCTGTGGCTGGAGTGTCAGGAGGGGGGACTGACCACTGAGAAGCCCCTGCCATGTGCCAGGCCCTCGCAGGAAGCCAGACATGTGAAAATCCCCTCTGCTATAGGGTGCGTGAGCTCGCCAGAGACAGAGAGAGACAGAGAGACAGAAAGCAAGAAAGCACCCCCCAGGGGGGATGGCCACGCCGCAATCCCTTCTCCTCCATTCTCCTCTCGGGATCCTGGGCACGCACACACACGCGCCCGGCGTGAGTTTTAAGCTGC